TGTCAAAAATCAAGGTGGTGTGTGTGTGTAAATCTCTAGTATCGCCTAAGAACTCAGAATCCTTGGGTATCTTCTCCTGGGATACCAGAGAATCCATGCCATTCCTGAGGCCATCCAGAACTGAGCAGGTGGTTATGGCTGTGTAGTGTCAGGGCCAGCCTTCTCAAATGTTTCTCTGTTCACATTTCTTAGTCATGACAAAAACATTGAGCATCCAAGCTGTGATAACTTTTAAACTGGTTACTCTCAAGCTCCTCTGATATTCTCTGCTTTAGTGATTTCCTAAGGTGCAAATAGACCTAAATCAGGGCAGGATTTCAGCTTTCTCTCATATCACACACCTGAGAACTATAAACACCAGTGGATAGCCCTGTTTTCTGTGAAAGCAAGATGTGTAAAGTATCAGCTGAAGGAACTGGGTTTCTATATATGTGAGAGATCATTGTTTATCTCTGGTTTCTCTAGTTAAGAATGCTTAGAAAGGACTACCTTCCTTTATTCTGTTCTTGCACAAAATGTTTAAAACCATAGGCCAAATACCTTATTATTTATCCACATGCATATCTGGCTGGGCTCTTTTGGCATCTCGTAGTATGCTGTGGATATTTTGTTTGGATGGAAGGGATGTCCTTATTTGCATGTCTTAAAGTACTTTTCAGTGTGTTTCCAACACAGTCAAACTCTCATAAAACACAATATTATTCAATACACAGCTGTTGCTACCAAAGTAAACAATTGATTTTTCCACTTTGCCATCAGATTCTGGGGAAGTAGGCACTTCTGGGAGAAGTCTAACAAAGCTGCAGGATTTTTGTCATTGCCAGGAGGCAATGGAGGATTTTTGTCATTGGAATGTGCTAGACAGATTTAGCAACTTTTACTCTAGACAGACGTAGCAACTCTGAGTGGGTCTTTGTATGGGTGGGAGGAGAAGTTTTCCCTGAGCCAGCCCTGTTCCTACAGCTGGACTGTCTGGATTCACATCCTCTCTTGCTATCAGCTCTTCATGAAAACCCATTTTTTCGATGTGCCCAAAGCTTGAGTTCTGAGTATTTGTGGTAAGAGATGGCCAGACTTGGGCCTTTAGAAATGACTACACTTGAGGTGAAAACTGCACAGAAACTTTGATTTGGGAAGGCAGGACTCCTCCAAATTGTCTTTGCTTATTGGTAAAAAGAGCTGATGCATTCAATGGGAACTTGAGTTGATTGATCCTTGATAGGAATGTGGCAATTACCTACTTCTTGCTCAAACTGCATCTCGTAACTTCAGCTGTGGGGCGAGTGTTGGGTGGGACTCCTGTGCAACCTACTGCATCCCTGACTCTCGAAGGAAAAGGGATGTGATGTCCTCAGATGGGAAAGTACCAAGTGCTAATCGATTAGGTATGGCATTTTGCATGTTTTACAGGTAGCTGCCAAACATCTGGAGACCTCATTATAATGCAGGCAAAGAAAGAATTGTGTTTGGATCTTTAGAGCACTATGGAATGGCATTAAACATTAAACACTACAGCTGCCCTTTCTGCAGACACAAATGTCCATTTGTGAGAATATGTTGTGGAACAAGTTTGTTTCTTTTCCTCCCCTTGCTGACACATTTATGGAAAGTTAACTAGTAGTTATTTGGTGTGATTTGTCCTGTGCTTTAACTGACAGCTGTTAAACAAAGTAGTTCCTGGGTTCAAGCCAGAATGGAGAAATGATTTGTAGGAAGCACTCAAGGTAAGTGAAGTTTACATGACCTAGTTTTTGAAGCACTTCCTCAGAGCACTCACAGAAATCTTCTCTTGGCGTTGACATGCTGATCTCACATTTGTGGTTCAAAGCCCTTACATTCCTGTCCTGCTACCAGATGGGATTTGAAGAGCCTTGTTAAGTTTGTCTCTTTCAATGCCCCAGATTGTGAGGAGCTCAAAGCTGACCTCAGTGCTTCTAGGACTGTTTATTTAGAGGACTGAACTAAGAGTGTTACATGTTGGCCTTTTTATAATCACTCAAGCTGTAAACCATCATTTGAGAGCTTGAATTAGCAGCGAAGGACAGTGAACACCTCAGAGCAGCTCTGAAATGTAACATAGGTTTCAGAAATTGAAGCAATCCTATTTCTATGCAGATTTTCAGGGATGGCAAAATGTCTGGGCCTTGCAGCCCCCATTCTGGAGCCACCCAAGATGAAATTCCTGCCCTGGCCTAACCAGAGCAAGACATGGGGCGTCTCTGATCCACACCTTGCTGGCAGAGTCAGTGATGGTCTTGCCATGATTTGTGTTACCCGACTGAGCTCTGTCTCACACAGCTGCTTCATCCCAAAATCCCTGCATTTTATGGCCTACACATGCAAGGCACATTGGAGCTGAAGTTTCCGTTTGCCCTTGGAGATAGCCCTTGACATGAGGTTTATCTTTGAATGGGAACTTGTTCGTGCATCTCTCAACACAGACGGGTAGGAGAAAACAGCAGCCAAGCTAATAAAACTGTGTTTTAACCAAGGAAATCCTAGGTTAGATCCTTCTCTCCCTTCTGAGGTGTGGGGCACATCTGAGGCAGGGACACTTTGCCACACAAGTCAAGCCAGCAAAGCTGCAGTGACTGGGGTCAGCTCCTGCAGGTCACTCTGCATCTCAGCTGAGTTGTTCAGCTTCAGTGAAAGCAGTATTTGGAAAACACCTGTAATAAAATGGTTTCCTTCCATGACCACCATGAAAAGTGTAGCCACAGTGAGGTTCTCAAAAGGTGAAATCAACTGTGTGGAGGGTGATCTTTGAGGACAGAAGTTTCCCATGAGGAAATTCAAAGATCCCCTAGACAGACCTACCATAAAACCCTGCTAGCTCTTTAATTAGATGTTTTGCATTTTGGTTTGAGACTCTGGAGGTTTCATCCAGGTACTCATGAAGCTCTATCCTGCTGTAATAAAAGGAGTTTGTCCTCAGCAAGACACTGCTGCTTTCCTTGGCTTTAATAGATCCCGAGTGTGGGCCCAAGCAATGTTTATGGAATTAGGCTTCCCCAGGGTACACTTACTGGATGGATGACAACACTCTAGTACAAATCAACACACTCTTTTCTGCTTCATTCCTCTGTGGTGAGTGAAGAAATGGGGGAGGAGGTAGTAAAATGCGTTACAGCACAGGGACTTAGATGGGTCTTAGGCAAGAAAATAAATGAAATTCTGACCCCTGACCCTCTAGCTTGGCATAGTGGTCTTGTAGAGAGGACCTTTCCAGGAAAACCTTTTATCCCTAAAGCTTTTAATTTCATGCCCCTGCTCCCTTTCCCAGCAGAGGATTTAAAAAGTACAAGCAATGTGACACAACATGGGGACCCCAGGGAGCCTTCATCCCATCCTCACATGTCTTTGCAGAATTTCTTGTCAAGAAAAAAAATCCTTCCTCTGAAGGATTTTGAAATCTGAATCAAACAAATCATTCTGCAAAAAGAATATTGATTTTGTGATAGAAGACGGTAGAAGCTCTGGCAGATTCTACTCTATAGATCTGATCACTGTGGGCCTTTAGATTAATACAGGGTCATGCTTTGCTCTCAAAAATCTCTGAGAAGTACAAGTGTAGTGCTACCTATAGTGCTGCCAGAAAACTTGGCTTGCAGCCTGAGTCCTCAGAAGTGTGGCTGTGGGTGACTGAGTGAGGAGTGCATTGGAGTGAATAAACCATGGAATGGCCCTTGCAGGATCTGTCATGGAGCTGAAAAAGTGGTGACACTCCTGTCTCCATTTCTTCTCACCTTTTGGGTTTCTCAAATGCTTCTGGGCATCTCCTTTTTTCCTTCATCATTGCTAATGCTGTTTAAAGAAAATGTCATCCTCTGGATAATACATTGTGTTTGAGTAAGAAGAACAACCAAGTTTAAGGTGGTGTACCTCAAATAAGTAGTGTATGGAGTTCTGTATGCTGTTCTCTCTCCTGATACCAAAATAAATCAGTTCTCTTTAGAGATACAATGGGAAGGATCTGCTTGGCTCTAGCTCTGATCTCTCTCTGTGGTGACAGCAATCATGGGCCTGGCAAGACTATTGATAAAGAAGCTGAAAGCAATTTTGCTTTTACAAAAAAATTCTCGTTCAGAACTGTAGAACATGGAGTGCTCAGATGTTAAAAGAGAAGCCAGAATTAAAGATTACACTTAAATGCACTTAGTTGAGAAACGTGTTTGGACTGTACAACGAACTAACTATATTCATAAACTGATGGGAGGTAAAAAAAAACAAATCAAGCAAACAGCAGTCTCCTTTGTCTCATACAGTGTGCTCTTTTCAGCAGCCTCGCAAGGAAATTGTAAGTGGAATAAAATAATATGGAAAATGGCATTGTAACATAAGCATGAAGTGGTGTGAGAGGAAAATGCATACAAAACTAATTTTAAAAATTAGAACCCTATAGATTATAACCCATCACAGTTATCTATATGAATAATTTGCCTGTTTCCTCCACTCTTCCCATTCTGTAATGAAGTTGCATTCTTCAACTACACCAAGCAAAAGCTGGATTACACCATTCAGTGTTCTTTTTTTATAGAACAGACCTGAATTTGGAGTGAAACTTTGGGTATTGGAGTGATGTAATTAACAACTCCCCTTCAGCACATGGAATTCGTGCTCATGCAATGCTGCACTAAGACAGCAGCACTTCTCCAGCTCCTGTTAGCACAGGCACCTCTGCACCACACCTTGCTCTGGGGTTAGGATTTGCCTCGAGGTGTCGAGGTGCTGTTTTAAAAACACGTGAGCAGATGTGACCTAAAATCAATGCATGGAAGTCTCTGAGGCTCTGGCTGCTTTGAAAAATATGACAGCAGGTACAGTCACAGTGTATACACATCCCCAAATGCCCCTGAAAATTGTCAGTGCTCAATGAGACACACTCACTGAGGTATGTTCACCTGTGTGTGTGTGTATTTAATGGACTGTAGCAGAAAAGTGTGTCACTGCTCAGAGGACAGTTTGTATGTATTTTCCTCTCCTGCCCTTATTTTTCTCACCTGTTGAACCACAGCTCAGTCATGGACATGTTCCAGCACCTGGACTGTCACTTTTGGTGGCTGTTCAGGGATGCTCAGCTTCCATAGGAGGCAGTTGCTTTGTCCTGAGAGGGAGGGAAGGTTGCAACACAGTTCAGGAAAGGAAAGTGAGAAGGGTGTGAAAGACAAACCAGCTAAACTCTTTCAAAGGATTCTTAAGTACTCATCACAGAAACACAGAATGATTTGGAAGTGAACCTGAAAGATTGTCTTGTTCCAACCTCCCTTGCCATGGGCAAGGACATCATCTACTATACCAGATTGCTCAGAGACACATCCAACCTGGCCTGGCTGCTTCCAAGGATGGGACATCCACAACTTCTCTAGGAAACCCATTTTAGTGCCTCACCACTCTCACAGTAAAGAATTTTTTACTTATTTGCAACCTACACCTACCCTTTTTCAGTTTAAAATCGTTGTCCTTTGTCCTGTTACTACAGGTCCTGGTAAAAAGTCTCTTTTTTACCAGCCCCTGAAAGGCCCCTCTGAGATCTCCACAGAGCCCTCTCCAGGCTGAACAACCTCAACTCTCTCAGCCTGTGTTCAGAGCAGAGTTGTTCCAGCACTGACTGTTTTTGTGGACTTCTGGATCTGCCCCAGGTCTCTGTTTTATGTTAAAAGAAAACTGTAGATGGAATTTACCATGATAAGGTGGGAAAATCCAAGAAGCCCCCTAAAGAGTTGACTGCATCTGTGTATTGGCTTTTTTTAAAGAATATATGTGTTTTTTCTTTTGTAGAGTGAAATGTTCTTCTCCCATCCATCCCTCACCTCCCACCAACCACTGGGTAGCTTCTCTGGAGATAAAATATACAGAACTCTGGTGACTTTTCTACTAAAAGATCAGTCTGCTGAGTGTAGTATGCACCCATGCAATCTTTTTTTAGGGCTTTCCCAACTAGGGAAAACCTATCAGAGATTTTTTTGCAATACTCATCTTGTCAAATATTTTAATAACCTCGTCTATATTACAAGAAGAGCACTTGGAGTTGAAAATTTCCTGTCATCTCCTTTTCCTTTCCAGAAATAGAGAAATAATTTCTCTGGAATGAAAAATCTGTGCTGATTTCCACCTTTGCATTACTTACACTTGTGTTACCAAGATAATCTCAAAAAAATGGCAAGATTTTTGATTTAATGAGAACTGAAATCCATAGCTCTGTCATTTCACTTCTTCCTCAGGATTCACTTTTAGTCAACTGGTGAAACATTTCTATTTAGCTTTCAAAAAGCTGAGATTATCTAGCATGAGCTGGCTCTTGAGGGGGTCTGAGTTCCAGGTTCACACGGAGGAGGTGTGAGAAATTGGACTTTGTGGCATCTGTTGCTCTGTACTTTCCCCAGGTGTCTTTCTCCTCCCTTCCTCTGTCCCTGCATTAATTTGGTGGGTACAGTCCCCTCTAAAGGAAGCAACGAGCTACCAAGAATAAAATTAGATTTTAAGATAGGAAAGTAATTTTAAATGCCTTGTTGTAGGGATTGGCTTGTACATCTATTGCTGTGTAGATTTTGTTGTTTGTTTTTTAATTAATCTAATATAAATCTGTCAAAACTAAGGCACCAGGTTTGTCTGGAGCCTACTTGTGCAATGGAATTTTTTTTTCCAAACTCCACCACCACTTGTAATAGAAACCTCACTGACTGAGTTTGGGAAACCCCCCCTGTGCAGCTGTTTGCCCTCTTTCTAGTCTTGTCACTCCTACACTTCTTCACCACCTGCAGCCTGGACCCTGGGACCTCTTGCCTTCCTTTTTAGCTGCTGTTACTCTCTGCCAGTTTGTGAACAGCCACCACTGAGAGCCTGAGGAGTTACCTGGAGCTCCCTTTCTGCATGCTGAATGCTCGAGCCTTTGCTCTTGCTCAGGTGATATTCTGAGGCAGCAAGTGTGATTTGACTGTTTTCAGCCTAGTGTTTGTCCTCTGAATTTCACTAAACTGAGACTCCCTGTTCAGTCACTCCTGTCAGTTAGCCATTTTAATGGCTAAGGAAAAGCAAAAGATGAGAGCAGAAATAAAGGCAAATCAGTGCTCAGTGAGAAAATTAACTGGAAATGCCTTTTGTTTTATTGGTGGCCTCACTTTCCATTTTACACTCTAAGCCCACCCCAGCTGGGAGCCAGCACAGGGGAGAGCATTACACAGCTGGGAACCCCCTCAGTCTGGAGTTTTTCCTCTCTGGCAAACTGTCACTTATGACAAATAAAAAAAACAACCCCCCAAGCCAAATCCACACTGTTTCTATTTCATTTTTCCCCGTGGAAACATCACCTGAAGCAAGCGTAAAAGACCGTAGCCAAACCCCATAGCCCAAATACTGCAATTTTAGCACTTTCTTGTTCAATACAGAACATTTGATCTCTTGCTTACCTCTGTGGAATCTCCGTGTCCCCCCTGCATGTGCTGAGATCCAAACGTGCTGCTGCAAGGAGTGCTGCTGTGAATGAGGAAGTGCTGGAGCAGGATGTGAGCAGTGACTCAGAGAAATCAGGGGATGTTTCTCCAACCAAACTGAAGAACAAATGGAAATATTGTCGGCTCTCACCATAGCATTGCAGCTGACGTAAGGTCTTGCAAACTACCACTTCACCAATAGAAAAAGCTCAGCATCCACCTTTGATCTTTTCCCAGAATTTAGCTGTTTATGATAATGCAGCCTTCAGGTATTGCAGTTCCTTCTAGGAGGACTGCCTAACTTTTGTCTTATAGTTAAACATTTCTTTGTATCGATGTGCTACTTGAAAATGTTCAGAACAAGGATTTTGCCAGTGTTTCTGAAACAACTCTTGTCTCTCAGTTTAAGCAGGGACTTGAGACTTCGCTCAGTTCTTTCTACTGAGGAAAAAAAAAAAATTCAAACTTTTATCTTACAATTAGTTGTGACTGATGTTAATGTATTTGGTTTCCTGTACAGCTGAGCACAGAGGCTACCCCTTGCACTTTCTAAGCATGCCTTTCCACGCTCTACAATGCCAAAAATAGCTGTTTCTTTATTTGCTCTGCAATCAAGCACTACTTTTTCCTGGCTCTCTGCTTCTGATGTGCAGGTGCTGAGCAATATTTACCCCTTACGTTTTCAGCCAGCCATGGCAGAAGCCTTTCTTTTTCTCCATGAGAGCTCTTGCATCTTGCTGAGCATAGTCTGGCATAGTCTGCTGTTGCATTTCATAAAGAAATTTATGTTTTTCTTTCAATGGGCATTTGCTGCCAAGGGCATTTCTTTACTAGGGTGGGTTTTTTTTTTGCACATAGTTGCATAATTGCACAATTCAGCAATTGTGGAAAAATATATTTAGTGTATTCTGTTCAACACTTTTTCAAACTGCTAGCTTCTGGGTAGTCTCTCTTGCATTGTATTGAATCCTTCTGACATCTCCCTTTGTTTTCTTTACAGATGTATACACACACTTGTTAATGCACTGTTAGTGTTGAACTTTATGTTATATAAACATGCCATAAAAAGCATACCCATTGATTTGGATTATTATTAAAAAGTATTAAATAATATATACTTATAAAAATAAACAATAGTAATACAAACACTGTTTTCATTCATCTCAGCTCATCCTCTGCTTGGATTAAGTAGAGAGCTTGCTATTTCATCATGCTGGAAGAATTTAAATATTAACATGTAACACTCATACAAAAAAAAACTTTAGAATAAGCCTGTTTGTTCTTTGTTGCTTGTTTTTATTTTTGGGGTTGTTTTTGGGGGTTGTTTTATGGTATTAAGCTAGAAGTTAAATAATTGAAAAAAGTCTAGAAAATCATATTTCATTATACTAGAAAACAAACAAAGCCACCCACACTCTATTTAACTGTTTTAAAAGTGAGACTTAGTAAATCAGTCAGCTTAATGGTTGTATTTCAGCAATATGTAATTTCTCACTCAAATAGGGCTGTAATGGAGTTGCTCATTCTCTTCTGTGGCAGTGATAATCCAGAGTATTTCCTGAGGCACTTGACTTTTGGAAAGCTTTGAATGCCTGATGCAACTCATATTTAGATGTGTGGAAGACATAGCAGAGGAATAAATTTCTGATTTTCTAGAAGTTATTTTCTCTCTAGCACTGAAACACAGAAGTGGAAGGCTTCCAAGACTAGAATTCCTGATGAAGTACAAAAACCATTTATGGCTGCACTAATGTCAAGAGAAATTAATATTTGTGGGTTTTTTTTTTTCCTCTCGTGCTCTTCTGAGAGCTACTCTTCTGGAAGATCCTAATTCTCCTCTGAGAGCTCCTCTCACAACAGCAGAAGTATTGACCAAGTTAACTCAATTGCTGGAATCTGACGCAGAGGTGCCATGTCCTGCTCCAGATAAAAGAAAATCACTCCATAATAAAGTTTAAGGATGTGACCTTAATGCTTCATAGGCTAATTCCTTCTTTACATGCTTTGAACAAGCCCAAATTTAAACTATCAGCTGAAGTAATTCCCCTGTGTGTCCAGTGATTTCAACAGCCTTTTCCACTACATCTTTTAAAGTCCTATGTCTTTAAACACAAGTTTTTCTTGTGTTTTGTCTTCCAAGTGCCCTGCCTTGGTGATTAAGTACCACCTAGCAAAAAAACTCATGAGGCTGGGAAGGCTACTGTGTTCCAGCTTTGTGCTTAGGTGCCCTCTGTGTCTTCCATTCTTTGCTCACGTTATTTCTGTCCTCCCTTCTTGCAGGAGGAGGTGGCAGATATGGATCACTAATGCATTCTTTCAAAACCTCTCAGCATACAAAAATACAGCAGCCACAGACACTTGTGGTCATTTAATGTTCTGGATGAAGGCTGTGGGTCTGGTGGGCACAGCCATACAGTTTTTACTCAATTTGATTTTCAGTGATAAATACAAAGGAGTCATACTGATCTGTGGTGACTGCTCACCAGGATAAACCTTTCCAGCGTGTGGCTGAGCTTTAGTTTGGAGTTGGTTTTTTTGTTGGGGATGATTTTTTTTTTCCAGGCTCATCAATGGCTCATGTGACAGAAGTGAGGTGCTGTGATTGCTCAGCGTTCCACTGTGCTACACTGAGTGTAGTCAGACTTGGAAGAAAATTAAGACCTGACAGCAGTGCAATACTGGCTTATAATTGTTTATCTTGACAGAAAGAAAAGACTGAAAGAAATATTTTCTCTTCCTACCCTTCCTGTTCTTTCTACATTATCCTATTAAACTTAGCATGGGTTGAGTGACCTGAAGGAGAGTGCTGTAAGCTTTCAAAATCCACTCATAATTTTTCCACAGTCACAGAGTGGTTGAGTTTGGAAGGGACCTCTGGAAGTGGTCTGCTTCTGCTCCCCTGCTCAAGCCAGGCCACCTACTTGATCTTCAGACAGAGCCCAATGTGTGTGCCCATTTCCTCTGGGCACTACTGGAGAGAGCCTGGCTCTGTCCTCTTGCACCCTCCCTGGAGGGATTTCCATGCACTGATGAAACCCCTCCTGAGCCTCCTCTGCCCCAACAGCCCCAGCTCTCTCAGCCTTTCCTCACAGAAGACACACTCCAGTCTCTTCTTCATCTTTGTGGCCCTTCACTCTCTCCCCTTTAGACTGATATATTTGTTGTATGGGGGAGCCCAGAACTCCAGAAGTTGCCCTCATTAGTGCTGAGGAGAGGGAAGGGATCACCTCCCTCAACCTGCAGGCAATGTTTTGCCTGGTACAGCTCAGGATGCCTTTAACCTTCTTTGCCACAAGGATACAATGCTGACTTGTGTCAAACATGGATCCTTTTTCTTTCTCTTCTTGAAGACAGGGGTGATGTTTGTTCTCCTCTGCTCCTCTGGCACTGCTCACAACTGTCATCATCCATCAAGGATTATCCAGAGTGGCCTTGCAATGATATCTGCCAGCTCCCTCAGCACTCATTGGTGCATCCCATCAAAACCTTGAATGGAATAAATTCCAGGTGGATTTTGGCTTTTTTAACCGTGTTTCTGCATGCTCAGACAGTGTCTCTGTTCCTTCCATGTTATCCACCCCTGCTCCACCCTTTGCATGCTTTTTTTTGTGCCTGAGTTTTGCCAGGATCTCCTTGTTCATCCATGCAGGTCTCTTGGTGTGTTTTTTGGTTGGTTTTTCTTTCTTTTTCTTTTTTTTTCTTCCTACACATAGCAATGAAGCAAGCACAGAAAAAAACTTTGTTGAGACAAACTACAAAGCCAATGCAAATCTTTGAGCTGGCTCACTTCCTACAGGCCATTGCCTAAAGTCTTGTTGGTTTTCAGTCCCTGGGGCTCCTCACTTCAGTGTTTGGAGATGTTCACATCATCAGTACCTTTGTCATGCTGCTTTTAGGGTGTATAAATGTGCTTTCTCCCCTCTATTTGCTATATCCTGCATATTTGCTAAAAGGTTTCCAACTAAAGCAAAATACAGCCTGCTTTTCCACAGAACACAACTCCCTTTTTTTTACCAAAGACAGTTGCCCACACATCTGCTAATTCAAATACTGTGAATCAGATGCTTTCCAAAATCAGAGCCAGACTGTTTTCATCACCTATAAGTGAATTGATGGAAGAATGAATAGCTTAAATATTTTAATTTCCTGTATCAGGAATATAAATTTGCATTCAGCTAAGTACTAGTGCAGACTGGTCAAGGGACTTGTGTATTTTCTTTTGGTGCTATTATAGCATGTTGTAACCTTGCAATATTCCTTTTTCTCATTGTATATTTCCTCTCTACTTGTGTTTGTTATCCAAGTGGCTTCTAAGGCTGTGGGCAGAGTTCTCCAAAAAAGTGAGTCTTTTTTTGGCTCTTGTTCATCTCATATTGGTGATTGTAGCTGGTATTATTAATAAAGGTGAGTTTTTCTTTTTGCCTTGGCCCCCCTTTTTGTTATCAGATTAACCAAATAATACAGACAATCTTAACCAAGCTCTCCTCAGAAGGAAAATGCAAATCCATTTGTCATTCTGAGCAGAAGACAGCAAGGTTGTTTGGGTAAGGCAGTACAGACCAGCTACATCTTGTCATGCTCACTGTCTCTGCTTCCTGTTGATAAACCTTAATCCTTGTCCAGTTCAGGTGGAAACCGAAAGACTGTTCAAATGATGCTAGTGAGCACCTGAATCTGTGTGATTTATTTGTCATTTTGGATTTGCCTGCAGAGTGAGGCTTTCCAGCCCTGGCTGTGGCTGGTTTCCCTTGTTTCCACACATTTAGCTAATATCTTATGTGGTTAGGACTCTTATCCCAGGGTGAGGGCAGATGAGAGATGTGAAAAACTAATGAGTTTTCATGCTGGCTTTTGAACCACTTGAGCAACAGCGGAAGACCTTTCATGGTGCAGCCATAGTAGCAAAAATTGAAGCAGCATGTTGAATTGCACAGGAAGAGGTGACAGCCAGCAGCATTGCTGTCCAAGAGATGTGTAAGTCCTGGCAATGGGAGATACTTGGCAAGAAATCTGCATCTGTTACTGAGGCCTAATGACCTGGACAGCCAGTAGGGATGGGAACAAAAATTCAGCTTGACTGTGAGAAAGGAACAGACGTGAAGCTGAT